TGTATTTTTATTTTACAATGAATAAAACAGAATTTTGACTCGAAGACATCATGCATTTTTGTAATGTATTGTAACTCAATTATTCATACACCAGTAATTATTTTTTCTTTATAACTTATGTTTTTCTCATCTGATAAGAATCTTATTTCACCTTCTGAAAAACACACAGATGTAATTGATCCATGCATTTCTGTTGCGCAGGTATCATGGCTGGATCCAACAGATCCGGGGATCTGAGAGACGCTCAGAGGTCCATTCCCATCGGCACCATCCTCGCCATCGCAACCACCACCGTCATCTGTATCCTTAGTCTAGAGCGGTCTACAACGTTATATATTTAACCATGTACTGGAATCATAACTGAATCAATTGTAAAGCTAGATCACTGAACCATTAGTACTGTGTCTGTGAGAGACAGAGAGAGTAAGGCGAGATGCTGTTAGGTTTTCTTAGCGGTGTAACTCAGATCTGTCCTGCGTGGTGTTGTTCGGCGCCTGCATCGAGGGTGTGTTGCTCCGAGACAAGTGAGCGCTTTCTGCTTCTCATTTTCCACTCATAATATCCTCATTTTCCTGGATAAACATACAGGCAATCTACTTTAATAACGGCAGGTTGTTTGCGAACAGCTCTGCACTGCGGTCAATGAACTCTTTATATGTAATATCTCAAGATTATATCACTGGAAAATGCCTGTGTCTGTTCCTAAACCTAGTGCGCTGCCTACCGAGACAGCAGTTACTTGTTCCAAAGATGCACAGATGCACTGTAACACATGTTGAAATAAAGCAAAGGTTGTCAGAGTGAATTTTGCAAGAACATACTATTTCAGTCTTTCTACCTCAGTGTGTTCAGTGTGCCATTATTTATGAAATTAACTAGCAACTTCTGAGTGAAAATTGTTTCAAAGCCTTTTTTTCTCAGTGGAATGTTTTGATATTTCATTCAATACTGCAAGCTATCCGTATAAAGTGGTTTGAATTAGTAATATTTTTGTTTACCTATATTTTATTACAAAATAGATTTTTAGATTTGTGTATCAATAACGACAGAATCAAGAGACGGGTGTATTAAAAGTTTTAATACATATGTTTTTTCATTTAATACTTGTTTTATTTCTGCTTTAATTCAGTTAACAATACATTTGTAACAGTTTTATGTAACAATAACACTTTTTGCTATTGTGCGTCAGAGATAGATCCATTTTATTTAAAAATTGCTACTTCAATTATTGTTACTATTATAAAATCATATTTGTGAAATTGAATGGCAATTTCAGAGTGAAAATAGTTTCAAAGGCATTTTTCAGTATACTATATAGGCTGCAATTACGCTCCCCATAAGATTCCTACATTTAGCAGAATTTTGATGCAGGATCTCATCCCAGATCCCAGAATGCACTGCAACAAGCTGTGTGGGAACAAAAAAAAAAGAAATAAATATTTTTGTATTTTGTATCAATATAAAATGGTTTAATTGAGATTTGTTGTTGTTGTTGTTGTTTAGGTTTGGAGACTCTGTTAAAGGTAATTTAGTGATTGGCACGTTGTCCTGGCCCTCGCCCTGGGTGATCGTGATTGGCTCGTTCTTCTCCTGCTGTGGGGCGGGGCTTCAGAGTCTCACCGGCGCCCCCCGGCTGCTGCAGGCCATCGCGCGGGACGGTATCGTGCCCTTCCTCGAGGTATCAATAGCACTGCATATGCATCAGATATCTCGTGATAGCATATATCTATAATACATGATATTTTGAATAAGCTTTCAATGTTTCATTTTAATTTTAGTCATTTTGTTATATGCATATGTCAGTTAAGCCAGTTATAGTAGTTTTTGTTTTTAAGCTTTATTTTTATTTAGGTTTTAGTCATTTTAGTACTTCATATTAAACTCGGATTATATCAGTTAGTCACTTAAGTTTAAGTTTTTCATCTGATGTTTATATTTAATTTCAGCTTTATTTGAAGTTTGTTTGATGTAACAATAACAGCACTGTTTTCACTTTTGAAACAGAGACAGGTGCATTTTATGAAATGTATAAAAACATTAAATTGTGATAGTTTTGGTTTCATTTAATGATAACAACACTTTTTACTATTGAAACAGGGATGTGCATTTCATAACATTTATTTAAAAAACAAAGTTTATTAGTTTTAGTTTAGTTTATAAATTAATTGGGAATATGGAAATTAAAATGGTATTTCCTTCAGATGCTTTCAGAATATTTGATGTTTGTTAATGACAGTGCTGGTTAATACCAGATTACCACGGTTTATTTTAGTAACACTAGCTGTTAAACTATGTTTTTGTGTGGCAAGGTTTTTTCATTCGATATCTTTTGAATAATTGAACATGTCTAGGTGTTATATTACACATAAGCCTCCACATATGCAGCCCTACAGCGCTCTGACTGTGTCCTCTGCTGGTCTCTCAGGTGTTTGGTCATGGAAAAGCCAACGGAGAGCCGACCTGGGCTCTTCTTCTGACGGCTGTGATCTGTGAAAGCGGGATTCTCATCGCTTCTCTGGACGCTGTGGCTCCAATCCTTTCTATGTGAGTCTCATGTCTATCTGAGCTGTTTCTCCGTCAGTGTGGCGACAGACTGTGTGTTTGACTGTGTGTTGTCTCTCCTCAGGTTCTTTCTCATGTGTTATCTGTTCGTGAATCTGGCCTGTGCCCTGCAGACGCTGCTGAGGACACCCAACTGGAGACCACGGTTCAAATACTACCACTGGTGAGAGACTGAACACATCTGCTGTATGGCTTTAGTTGGGGTCAGTTAGATTTTGAACTCTCTTCTACTCACCAAAGCTGCATTTATTTGATCAAAACTACAATACATTTTTAAAATATTATTCAAATTTTATCTAACTGTTTTCTATGTGAATCTATGTTAAAATGTAATTTATTTCTGTGATCAAAGCTGTATTTTCAGCATCATTACTCCAGTCTTCAGTGTCACATGATCTTCAGAAATCAGTATAATATGCTGATTTGCTGCTTGAGAAACATTTCTGATTATTATCAATGTTGAAAACAGTTGTGCCGCCAAATATTTTGGTGGAAACAGTGATACATTTTATCTTTTAGGATTCTTTGATGAATAAAAGTTCAAAAGAACAGCATTTATTTAAACTAGAAATCTTATGTAACATTAAAAATTTCTTTTTATTGTCACTTTTCGATCAACTTTATGCATCCTTGATAAATAAAAGTATAAGTTTCTTAAAAAAATTTACTGACCCAAACTGTTTTAAATGGTAGTTTGTATTTTTAATATATAATTTAATAAATCTGCAAAAATGTCAACAATTCTGTGTTTTTCTGTCAATATGGGGTGCTGTGTGCACATTAATGTGTACATTAATGAGGAAAACAATTTAACTTAAATGATTTTAGCAAATGGCTGTAATATAACAAAGAGTGAAAAATTTAAGGGGGTCTGAATACTTTCGTACCCACTGTATATATATATATATATTTTTTTTTTTTACTGTTTATTTGTAATTTAGCTTTTTTTTTTCACAGTCCAGTCAATTCTGGCAACTCAATATGCAATCAAAACTCATTTTAATCTCAGTGGAGGTGTTTTATATACAAAAACTAAAGACTCAATGACTTTGCAAATACTGAAGAATTATAAATATACACTGTAATATTACCCAGAGAAACATTTTATTGCTCAGATGTTGCTATTTTTATACCTCAATAAATTTGAATCTCAGTTAATGCCATTTAACAAGAATCAGCCATCTCAGATGCTTCTCCTCAATTCCTCAGGAGAAATAAAAATAGACCCAAGTGACACAACAGTTGACATTGTTGAGATCTCTTCTGAAACTCTAGAAGAGAAACATTATTTCTTAGTCTTATTCTCATTTTCAATATATTTGGTAATGTTAGGGTGCAGAAATGTCTCCATTTGCTTTCCATTTATTCTTTTTGCTGTCTAGTTGTTCATTTTATTGTTTAATTTAAAATGTGTAGCTGCTTTATCTGAGCTGGCGTCGCTGTTCTCCTTCATCAGGGCTCTTTCGTTTCTTGGCATGAGTTTGTGTCTGGCTCTGATGTTCATTTCCTCCTGGTACTACGCTCTGGTGGCCATGCTCATCGCTGGATGCATCTACAAATACATTGAGTACCGCGGGTAAGAGCTGCAGAAGCGCATTACAGCCCACGCCGTGAGTCTGTGCAGACGCTAAGCTGATTACAGCTTCATCTGACTGAGTGTTTGTCTGCGGTGTCATTGTGAGTTTAAACTCAATTTTTATTCTGTGTTCAGGGCGGAGAAGGAGTGGGGCGACGGGATCCGCGGTCTGTCACTCAACGCGGCACGATACGCTCTCATTCGATTGGAGGAGGCGCCCCCGCACACCAAAAACTGGAGGTGAGGGTCACAAGATACACAAGCACGCTTTCAGAAAGCAAGAAATCCATTATGAAATAAACACCTGGACTGTATGTCCAAAAGTTTGGGATCAGTAAGATTTTTTATTTTACTTACAAAAGATTTCTATTTCAAATGAATGCTGTTCTTTTGAACCTTCTATTCATCAAAGAATCTGTTTTTTAAATTCATAATAATCAGAAATGTTTCTTGAGCAGCAAATCAGCATATTATACTGATTTCTGAAGATCATGTGACACTGAAGACTGGAGTAATGATGCTGAAAATACAGCTTTGATCACAGGAATAAATTAAATTTTACAATATATTCACATAGAAAACAGTTATTTTAAATTGTAATAATATTTCAAATTTTTATGAATTTTTGAACAAATAATAAAGACGTCAAACATATTTTAAAAAAATCTTACTGAGCCCAAACTTTCGAACAGTAGTGTATGTCATTTATCACAATATAATTTTTAATCCCTCTAAGTTTAATTTAAAAATATAATTATTGTTTTTATTATTTATATGTTATTTCTCATTCAGAATTATTATATAAAATGTATTAAATGTTACTGTGTTTTGGAAAATTCAGTGAATTAAAAATAATAATAATAGTTTTATCAAATTAAAAAAATACTCTTTATTTTTTTTTAAACAAACTTAATGAGACAAACATCACAAACTAGTAAACATAATAAAATAAAATATAATACAAATTTAATAATAAATGTAATAATAAAAAAATATAATAAAAATAATAAAAAATTCAAAGAAACAATAAAATCAGTTAAAAGCCAACCTAAAGAATAAAAGTATAGCACATTATCTGGCAGTCAACACATTTCTATACTGTCTTTCTTTCTTTACCTTCACCGGCTCTCCTGTGCTGTAATCCGGAGAGAGTCTGTTTTGGATTTTTCCCAGAGCTCTTGCTAATCTTTCATGGATTAAATAACCTGTAAACAATAAGCTGCGATGAAACTTCAGTCGTCTTTCAGGAATCAGGTCAAACCTGTTCGTTCCTCGTCCCGGCGCCTCTAATCCACGCCAGCAGAAACTGATCTGGGTTTTGTTCTGAGACATCCGTGAGCGGGTGGGCAATCTCAGCTAAAGGTCTTCTGAGTTTGTCCTGTGTCTAAACCCTTTTTTGTAAGCATTCGAGTTCCTTTGATTGACGTGATGGTAGTCTGTCCATCAGATTCAGATTATTGCAGTTAATTCAAATTCAAATCATAAAAAACGTTTTTGTTAAAATAATTGTTAACTAAAATAAAATATTTAAGAAAAAAACTGTAACAACAACATTTCTCATCATCTTTTAGTTTACTTGAAATACTAAAATAACTAAAACTAAAACTGAAATAAATAAAAAAACTGTAGAAATACACTATATGGACAAAAGTATTGGGACCCTCTTCTATAGAACAGAAAAGGCACTTCCAAAACTGTTGCTGAGCTGTCGGTGAAACACCCTCGTCTCCTGTCCTTCACCACGCAGCTGAAAGCGGGTAAAGGTCTGACCATCGTGGGATCAGTACTGGAGGGAACGTTCCTCAGCAGAGACACCGACGCCAAGAGAGCAGAACAGGTCTAAATGTGACGCAAACATCCACAAACATGAGCGACTCCTCAAATCAAGGCCCTTCTACTACTTCAAATTAACTTTCTGGAGGGAAATTTTATTTATTTTGGCCAGCAATAAAAAATAAAAATAAAAAAAAGATTAGTAATTAAAAATTATGTTAGGAAGAATATGATTCGTACACAAGGTGTCAGTGGAATTTCTTTTATTTTAAAACTTTTTAAATTAATTCTGTGTATAAAAGAAATTCTGGAATTCTCAGCACTCAAAAACGAGTAATTAAAATACAATAATTCGAATTTAAAATTTTAATTATTTGTTGTTGCTACATGAAATTGACTCATTTTTATTATGTTTATATTGTTGTTTTTAATTTACTTAATACATATAGTAATTCATTTCTTTATAGAATTTATATAATTCTAATATATGTTTTTATTTTATTATCTAGCCGTTTAAACTGTGATTGTTTTTGTGAAAGTATTTTCACAAAAGTGGACAAATCCTAGATGACAAAAAGTTTCTCTAATTGAAAATCACTTTTTTTTTAATGAATTTATTATAGTGTACATCTATATATCGATTCAGAGAAGAAACATTTTGGCCCAATTTAACTTTTATGCACTCTTAAAAATAAGAAAACACAAATCAAAAAGACAATAATAAGAGAGATTATTATCTGCTTATTTAAAAAATTTTTTTTTTTACACATTATTGAATTATAATATTACTATTTTTTATTATAATTATTTTTGTATTAATTTGATACATTCAAATAGTATTTAAATTTTTATACAATTTTTATATACTTTATATATATTTCCCCCCCCCCTCCCTTTATATATATATATCTCCCCTTTAAAAACTAGAATCACTGCTCTTTTCATATATTTATTATACATATCTACATATCTATAGAATATCTGAGTCGAGGAATTCTGGCCATTTTAACTTTTTAGCACTCTTAAAAATAAAGAAGAACGAACTGAGAAGATTTTAACACTATTATAATGTTCCCTTTCTAGCTAGAATCACAGCTTGTTTTTTGCTAAACCTGGGGGACGATTCGAATGGAAGAATCACTCTTATGTAAAGTGATCATGGCTTGATTTGCAACATACACAGTACTAACAGTCAATTACAAAATGTCAAGGCAGTTTCTGTCCTCAGATAAACGGAGAAAACAGGTTTCACAGCAGGATCCAGTCTTACTGACACCTAGTGGCCACAGAGAGACCTGATCCTCCAAACTCCATGTTATGGAGCTCAGATGTTCTAAAAATGGCATTTTGTTCTCCTAATTATTTTCTTTACACTGCAGAGCATCAAATCAGCCATGGCCGCAGAGAAGACGAAGGGTTTCTGTCATGTTGTGGTGTCTTCAAACCTGCGCGACGGCTTCTCTCACCTCATCCAGTCGGCGGGACTCGGAGGAATGAAGCACAACTCTGTTCTGATGGCTTGGCCCACCAACTGGAGACAGTCCAACGACCCGCATTCCTGGAGGAACTTCATAGGTTTGAGTCTGATTCATATCCTGCTGCTGTGACTCAACTGAAGAGAAAGAAACCCTGACAGACGTAAAGATGATCTGTTCTTCCACAGAAACCGTCCAAGAAACCACTGCCGCCCATCAGGCCCTGCTGGTGGCCAAGAACGTGGACAGTTTCCCTCACCAGGAGCGTCTCGCTGAAGGAACCATCGACGTGTGGTGGATCGTTCATGACGGCGGCTTGTTGATGCTCCTGCCGTTCTTACTGCAGCAGCACAAGGCACGGCTCTCAGTCAACTGTTACAGTACTTCCGGATTAACCGTGTGTTTTAATGCTCTTCCGTGTCTCTCAGGTCTGGAGGAAGTGCAAGATGCGCATTTTCACCGTGGCTCAGTTGGATGACAACAGCATCCAGATGAAGAAAGACCTGCAGATGTTCCTCTACCACCTCCGTCTGAATGCTGAGGTGGAGGTCGTGGAAATGGTGAGCAGATGCTGCTGCAGATGGATTTTTCTTGGCATCAGGATGTAAAGTTGGTTTTGTTGTGCAGCAGGACTGCAAAATATATTATATTACATTGCATTGCATTACATTATATTAATTATATAATTATATTAATGATATGTTTAAAATTATAGAACTTGAAAATGTTATTGCACTATATTATGATTATTTTAATTGTTTATTATCGCTAAATAATATTATATTAGTAGTAGTAGTATTGATTTATTTAAAATTATTTATTATTTAATAATAATGTTTTAATTTTCTGCTATTAAATAATTATTTATTTAGCATACTAATGTAATACTTACATTTGTTCATATAAATATATTTTTAATATACCTTTTTTACATGTATTTAATATTAACATTTTTATTTTGCAATATAAACATGCTGTTATTTTATTATGCAATAGTAATCATTTATTTTCTTTAACACAGCTTTTATTTTCACTGAAAGCCTTTTAGATTTTCTGTGTGTTGTTGATCATCTTTCATCTTTATGTTGAGGTTGCTCAAGCGTGTCCTCTGGTGTAACCGAGAGTGTTTCTCTGTGTTTCTGTGACTCCAGCATGACAGTGACATCTCAGCGTTCACCTACGAGAAGACGCTGGTGATGGAGCAGCGCTCACAGATGCTGAAGCAGATGCAGCTGTCGAGGACGGAGCGCGAGCGAGAGGTGATGCTTCATGACACTCGTTCTGTGTACAACAGCATTGTGCTGAAGGAATATGCAGTGACCGTATTTGCTTTTAGTGTCTTCATTAATGCTACGTGGCTGAATCTCGCCAAAACTATCAAGAAATGTCCAAATATTTCACTCTAAAATCAAAAGAAAAAATAAGAAATACAATTTTGTATTTAGAAGTTATTTTTTAAATATTAAAAGATAAATATAAAAATAATAAATATTAAAATATGTCTAACTATATATTATTTTTTATATATTATTATTTAAGTAAATTAAATTAAGCACAGTTGCAAAGCATATATCATTTATAAAATATATGTATATATGTGTGTGTGTGTATATACACTGTATGTATTTATTTAAAAAAATAAAATGTATAAACTATTTCAATATATATTATTATATATAAAATATATATAAAAAATTATTTAAAAAGTTTATTTGTATAGCGCTTTTCACGATACAAATCGTTGCAAAGCAACTTTACAGCAAATTAAGTTTCTACAATATTTAGTGGTAGTTTATCAGTGGTGGCTTAGTTAATGTACATATGGCAGAAATGTATGGAAAAATCAATTAAAGACGTAATCAAACAGACGATGAACACTATTAACAGCAGTTATTATATGATGCAATCAAACTAATAGCAAAATGTGGTAGTTTATGTTGTTTTATCATATTACTAAATAAGCTTGTTTTTCCTTGTGCAAAAAATGGTTTCTTATTTTTAATTTATGGTGAAAATGACCCAGACGTTTCTTCATGAGATTCAGCAGCATCTGAATAGCTGTGGTTAATAATGTTGGACTGGCAGCGCTGTGTGACTTGTGGTCCTCTCTCATTTCTGCTGCGATCGGGGAAACACGTCTCTTAGATTCAGAGCATCACGGATGAGTCGCGTAGCTCCATTCGGAGGAAGAACCAGAGCGGCGCTCACGGCTCGGCCGTCAATAACCAGAACGCACGACTAGATGACGATAAACAAGACGAGGTAGTGAATTCAAAGACTCAATCCTAAAACCACCGTCCTGGACGGCAGAGCCAGAAGAACTAGATCATCACTCACATCCTTGTGCTGATTTATGTGTGCATTAGTGTTAGCATCAGCTCTGTAGCCCCTCTCTTCAGAAAACTCTTCCCATCATGCATGTGTCAGTGATGTCCTCATATCATGCACGGCCATCTTTCAACACTTGTGACCCCTCGTGAACGGCCCTTTCCTTTCATTCCCTCATGTTTCTCTGCATTTAGTTTTAACCCTAAATAAATATATAAATAATGAATAAGCCATTCATTCATTTGTGTTTGTTTGTTTCTTTATTTATTTTCTCCTTTCATTCCATCATGTTTCTAACTAAATATATAAATGATAAATAAATACTTTTTTATTTTAATTAATTAATTAATTTTATTTGTTTTTATATTTCGTCTCCTTTCTCCGTTTATATTTCTTGCCCTTTTAACTATAAATAAATAAATACTTCATTTATTTTATTTTTTGTTTTTCCTTTCATTCCCTCATGTTTCTCTGTATTTAGTTTTAACTCTAAATAAATATATAAATAATTAATAAGCCATTAATTCGTTTGTTTGTTTGTTTCTTTATTTATTTTTCTTCTTTCATTCCAATCATGTTTCTAACTAAATATATAAATGATAAATAAATACTTATTTTATTTTAATTTATCTATTTTATTTATTTGTTTTTATATTTCTTCTCTTTTCTCCTTTTATATTTCTTGTCCTTTTAACTTAAAAAAATAAATAAATACTTCATTTATTTAATTTTTTGTTTTCCTTTCATTCCCTCATGTTTCTCTGTATTTAGTTTTAACTCTAAATAAATATATAAATAATTAATAAGCCATTAATTCGTTTGTTTGTTTGTTTGTTTCTTTATTTATTTTTCTTCTTTCATTCCAATCATGTTTCTAACTAAATATATAAATGATAAATAAATACTTATTTTATTTTAATTTATCTATTTTATTTATTTGTTTTTATATTTCTTCTCTTTTCTCCTTTTATATTTCTTGTCCTTTTAACTTAAAAAAATAAATAAATACTTCATTTATTTAATTTTTTGTTTTCCTTTCATTCCCTCATGTTTCTCTGTATTTAGTTTTGACTATAAATAAATATATAGGTAATAAATAAACACATTATTTACTATTTATTTTTTTCCCTTTCATTCCCCCATGTTTCTGTTTATTTATTTGTTTATTTTGAATTTTTATTTATCTTTTTATTTTTTATTGCCATTACATGTTTGTATGATTGGTTTCTATTGCATGTTGTCAGTCAGCATATCACAGACTAATACAGCTGCATGTGTGCAGTTTGCATAGTAGACAAGCTAAAACATTAATCTGACATGCTCTGCATGAATATAGAATTGTTTGCATTGATATAGCATTTAATATAGATCCATAACAGTTGTTTACATAATTTAAGAAGCAGTTTTAAATTAAATTAAAATAAGTAAATATTATTTAATACTGTTTTTCATGAATTGAATGTGTGATTGTGATAACTGCACAGGCTCAGCTGATCCACGACAGAAACACGGCGTCTCACGCAGCTCTAAACGACAAGACGGACGCCACGCCGGAGCGGGTCCACATGACCTGGACCAAAGACAAGTTCTGCACCGAACGCAACCGCAACCGAGAGCCCAGCGCAAACATGGCGGTGCGGGATCTGTTCAGCATGAAACCGTAAGTCACCTGAACACACACTCACACACTGACTGCAGCGTTTGGTGCTTCGTGGGTTTAATACTGGGATGTAAAGAGTGTTCAGACACGAGCCCAGAGGCTGCTGGGTATTTCAGGACACAGTCTGCATCTGATCTGCATGACCACAGTGTGTCTGCCATCCTGTATAACGGTCCCGCGTCCACCGTGTGTCTGTGTGTGTCTCCAGTCATATACATCTGCCCATTAGATTTACTGACATGTTTTTGGTCTTCATATAATATTAACAGTAATATTCCTCTCAGTGATGATACTGATAGGTTTAATGATTTAATAGGTGAATCTCACATGTAGATCATGATTTAGTTAAAAAGATAAATGAATATTTATTGATTTATTTAGCATAGGACCATTAGGATAGTTTGCATTTTGGCATTATTTTCAAAACATTGCATGCAGCACATTTCCCGAACTTTTCATTATTGTAATGCCTACAGGTATTTCACCTTAGCATTTGTTTGGTAATTCTCATGATGTGAGTGACAAAACCAGGTGATTTTTCATTTTTGTAAATTTGTAAATTTCATGCATAAATGAAAGGAAGTACAACAAACACAACCAGAAATAAACAAATATGAATATTTATTTATTTACCTGTCATGAATTTCCTTGTTACTTTCTTCTGAAATTTCTGAAACTATGTGGTATATTTATTTATTATTGTTTGTTTGTTTGCTTTAGTTTAATTTTATTTGTCATGAATGTAAAGGTTAATGTAAGTCTGTCCCGAACATACTTTTTATTAAGATCCTATTTTCCTATGATTTATTTGAGAAGAATTATCGGAAAAAAAAATTGTGCTGGGCAAACAAACTGTGAAAAGCTGTCATAAACACAGCGGCTGTTGCTGTGAGAGATTTCTGTGATGGTGTGGGTGTTTAAGCCTGTCTCTGTTGTTCTGTCCTGTTTTCATCCTTCTAGCGAATGGGAGAGTCTGTAAGTCACATTTCTCTGTACTGTAGCTGTCTGTCTGTCTGTAACTGTCCCGTCTCAAACCCTGCAGCACACTGGATTATTCATACATATATGTTTGTATATGAGCTTTGATATGTGTGTTAGCATGCATGTGTTTATGTCCCAGCATTCCCTCACGTCCATCACCGCTCGTCCTGAGAGCTGCAGACATGATCTCAATTTTTGCCACATGCAAGAAAAATTGTGCTTCACCTTCACCTGTTGCGTCCAGGATAAATTAAAAATTCCAATTAATGTTTTTTTTATTATATTTTACAATAATAATAATTTAATTCAAAATTATTTGATAAATTCTAGATAAATATTTTGTATAATATTATTTGTTAAATATTATAAAATAATTGACGTGAGTTTTATTATACTAATTTATTTTATTATATATTATAAAAATGTTTTAATGTTATTGTAAAATAATTTATTATTATTGATTGTATTTAAAATATTATAAAATAATTGTAATATAAAAATAATAGTTTTTTTGGTATATTTACTGTGGTTTGTTGATTGGCACCAGGTGGCGCTGAGGAGCACAAGTTGTTTTGTTTTTTTTGTGGCATATTTGTGATGTAGTCATTTATGCTTCATTAAGGGCATGTGCATATGCTGTGCATGTCAAATCTGGATGCTGTGCTCACTAACCTCAATAGGGCTTTATTATATAACTAATATGTAATGTAACCAATGCTTGAGTTACAGTGCAAATGTAATTATCATGCCATATTCAGCAGCATTGCAAAGCTTATGTATTATTTAAAGCACAGCTGTCCTGGACAATGAAGTGTTAAACTGTACAGTTTAGCATAATTATACACAAATATTTGACCACTGAATTACCATTGAACAATCAGAATCAAATATCACTGTAATAGAGGCATTTGCATTTGACCTCAGAGATCACAGTAAACGATAAATATGAGTATGTGCTTTGCAAATGCTGAAATATATACTAAAAGTAGACAGTGGAGAGACAAAAAAGCTCATTAAATGTTGATTGTTGTTGTTGGGAATTTGAAACAATGACTTGTATTTCTGGTTTCTGTCCTTCATCACATGACTGTGTGTCGCAGGAATCAGTCTAATGTGCGCTGCATGCACACAGCCATCAAACTCAATGAAGTGGTGGTCAATAAGTCTCAGGGAGCTCATCTGGTGCTCCTCAACATGCCCGGACCACCCAAGAACAGAGGCGGCGATGAAAACTGTATCCTTACACTGACAGAACTCACGCTTATGAAAACAGATGCATCTCTAAATCTGAGTGGATGAGCCACAGATGAATCAGGGTTATTATTGTTAACAAAAACTAAAACTGTTAAACATAATTGAAGTAAAACTAAAACTGATATAAATACATAAAAAAAATAGAAACTTAAAATTAAAACTAAACTAAAATTTAAATGAAAATATAAAAATAAAAGCTAATTCAAAATATTAACAAAAACGAAAAACGTTAACTAAAACTGTTAAACATATTTGCTGATTAATATTAAGCTTAAATAAGTTAAAATATAAATATTAAATGAAAACCCTGAAGGGCTAAAATTACTAACTGAAAATAAATACAAGCGAAAACTGAAATAAATAGATTAAACCTAAATGACAAAAATGCTAAAAATGACAAAAGCACATATCAAAATTGAAGGCAATTCTACATATTAGTACAAATTATAATGGCATTTTCAACATTTCTGATAACAATTTTTTATGACCCTAACGTTTTAAAATAAAATATTTATTTTTTTCATTTAATGTTTATATGTGCACATTACTCATACATACAGGTTTTGATGGAGGGTCTCAACCGGGTCCTGTTGGTGCGCGGCGGCGGTCGTGAAGTCATCACCATATACTCATAAAGCGGATTGTAGCCCGACGCCCCGCAGGCAGGAATTCAGTTTTTATTTTTCCCACAGCAAAGCCGGACATCATGGAGACAGCTAGCAGCCGGGGTTTACAGCGGCGTTTCGTCCGGCTGCATTCGTTACAGGACAGTGACTTTTGTGGCCCTCCTGAAGAGAGACGACGTGAAGAAACCAAGACGAACGATGATTCAATCCGTAACGTGAAACTTTAATTTATGACTCTTTTATTGTTTTCTTTTGTTTGTTCGTACAATGTGTGCTAGTTTTTATGTCTGTTTATTGTGCAACATCGTTTGGTTTTTCAAAAGACTTTTTGAAGCGCGTACTAGCCGAAGTTTTATAAAAGTAAAATTTGAGTTTGTTGCTAATGCCTGTTTAATATCGATTCATTCGTCTCCATCCTGCATTGCTTTTTATTTGCGTATCTTAGCTACGATTCAAACTGTCGCTTGATACCCAAAATGACATCTACTTTTAGCGAACCAGGCTGCGAAACGAGTGTATTCTTGTGGCGAATCCATATCCGAGTTGCGAAAATGCAATTTTACTGTTATCAAAGGAATGTTTGAGTTTTTCACGTCGGCTAGTTTTAACAATAATGCAGCGCGGATGATGAATGTGTCGGATGACGTTACTGACTTCATGATACGGATTGTGCAATAACTTTTATTCATTATCAAGTCATCACTAGCCGAGCGTGGCGTCCACTTGTCGAGGGTTTTGTATTATAAAAGTTGAAATGTTTAACGCAAACAGCGTATAAGGAGAAAAGCCATAATATTTGGTCTCGTCATTGAGTACTGAGGTTTTGTTTTGGCTCTTATCTTGGCATAAATCACTGAAATCAGTTTAATCGGGATGATTTCAGCTGTATTTGCACTTTTTTATTCGATTTTTTCGTTAATTGTGTGATAAAAGCACAGGGCACAGCTGACCTGTCCAGCACACCATTTGCTGATGATCAGAACCAGCACTGCAAAATCTCCTTCTCTCAGCAATAAATGTGTTTTTCCCATGAGCTGGAATGAAATTTAGTCTCTGTCTTGACGTTCATGATGTTATTGGGTTGCTGGGTATATTAAACAGGGAGAATCCTTTATTAACCGGCATTACTAGTAGAGTAAAGTATAAAACCGTCTAGTTAACGAAAGCAATCTATTAGGATTGAAGCTGAAGTGTTATTCCTAGTGGCGTCAAATGGAACTGCAGTTTGTTTGTTTGTTTGCGTGACAAGAGAGCTGGACATTATTTGCTCAACCAATGGAGTGAATTTGGGGGCGGAGCTATTGGTGTCTGACCAATAGCAGATTGGGGGAGTGTTTAATATTTGTTTGAAAAACCTTATCATGTTTCGAAATGACACACTTCACCTTAAACAGGTTTAGAAATGATTGTGTTTAGATTTGGACAATCAGAAAGCAATTGTAGAAAGATTTACATTTTATTTTTGTTGCTCGTTTTTTTCTTATACACCTTGTCCTTACCAGGTGATAAAACAACAAGCAGTAAGGCCCAATCCACAGACTATTTTATACGTCTTCCCCTTCCCCTTCCCCTTGTCTCTTGAAACAGAGTGTCAAGGGGTAGGGGTGAAAATATTCCCATAAGAATTGGGACACCATTACTTTACGTCACACGTCATCATATGCCGTCTAGCTCCTACAATACACACACATACTGGTGTGCTGGTGTGCATTAGAGCCTTAGTGATTTCTAATTATTGGGGGGACTAGCCCCCCTCAATGTCTACGGTGGTTATCACCTTGATCAGACATGAAAATATATTGTGGCACTATCGTGTAGTCTATAATGATATGACGTTAGTTAGCAAATATTAGCGATGTTTTGCAAACATTTCTTTGAGTAACATGACTGTAAATATGAACTCACGATTGAATGTAACATAAAACAAATGATTACTTTTCATAAAAATCTTTTTTGTTAATGCCAAAAATGCTTACATTTATGTTTCTTTTTGTTCGCTCGGGCAGCCATGTTGCCCCTGAAGCCGGTTTACGCTGAGATAATTCATACCCCTTCGTTTGAAGTGTGGTCCCGAAAAATATTCGTTTGAAGGGCTGTCTGGCCCTTCCCCTACCCCTACCCCTCCCCCTCCAACCAATAGAGAATCGAGACACCCCAACCCCTTCACGTGAACGGGGAAGGGCTAAGGGGTGGAACTGGGATTGGGCCTAAGTCTTATCCACTGTGACATGCCTGATTGGTCCAGAATCACTGCATATTAAACAGCTGATGTATTCTGATTGGCTGTGACTTTTGGCATTTTGTCTGTTTTCTGCATTCATTCAGCTTGGTTAGGACACGGTGTCACATGTAACGTACACTGCCGTTCAAAAGATTTATTTATTTTTCAAAAGAAATATACTTTTATTCAGCAAGGACACATTAAATTGATCAAAAGTGATAGTAAAGACATGTATAATGTTACAAAATATTTCTATTTCAAATAAATGCTGTTCATTTAAACTTTCTATTCTCCAAAGAATCCTGGGAGAGAAAAAAAAAGTTTCCACAAAAATATGAACAATAATAATCATAAATGTTTTTAAGCATCAAATCAGCATATTAGAATGATTTCTGAAGGATCATGTGACACTGAAGACTGGAGCAATGATGCTGAAAATGACAATCAATTACATTTTAACATATATTCACAAAGAAAACAGTTATTTTAAATTCTAATAATATTTCGCATTTTTACTGTATATTTGATCAAATAAATGCAGCCTTGGTGGGCAGAAGAGACTTCAAAAATCTTACAGACCCCAAACTTTTGAACGGTAGCATCTGCTTCAGAATTATTGGAAGATGAGTGCCAAACATAAATGATAAGAAGCTGCAGAAGGTCAAACAGCATCAGCTGCTGCTCATTCAGTGGGTCTGAGATGTTGAAGGTCTGTCTCAGTGTTTCTTTGAAACCCGTTAGCGTTGCAGTATTTTGTTACCAGGACATTATTACTGTATTTTCTACAGTGTGTCGTGATGTAGAGGAGGCAGACGGATATGCTTAGACCATCTTATCTTATGTTCTCTGAGGATGTAGTTTCTGCACTGCTCAGCTGTGGTGAATGTTTCCCTTTAGGACAAATTGTGAATATTAGGGCATGGAAAATCTGGGGATATTGTGTTGTTGTTGTTTTTTATTTCACGTGCTCATTTCTGTCATTCATTTTAGATGCCATAGTGTTCTGTCTTTGCAAATTGGAAAATATATATATATATCTTTTTAAAGCAAATGTTTACCTGATAATTCATACTAATTATTATATGAACCAAGCAGAGTTTGTTTGTGAAGTCTCAGTGATCACTATATTATTCAATTGAACACAGTGCATATAAAACAGTACATTCCTCATGTGTTTTAGGGTCTGTTTCACACTCACATGAACATCACATGATCCACAGCAGCTCACAGTCAGATCAGAGACACGAGCGGCTGATTCAATCATTAAGAACAGAGTCAAAGACAAACATACTGGGTAGAATGTTATTTGATAGCCATATACTCACATGCAATGAGTATAAAAGAGTGCATTTTGACTTAATTTTTTTAATTCTTTTCAATAATGCTACTATTTTCAGCAACAATAAATCAGTCAACCAATATTTTAAGAGTGAGTTTTGAGCTCTAATACACAAAGTGAAGCTTAATGTGTTTCTGAGTCTGTGTCACAAACTATCTGTCCAGTGATTAATCATCTTCCTCCTCCTCCTCCTCCTCAGTTCTGCCGTAAGCACGTTTTGGAGCATGCAAAAACAGGGCCGTTATTGACTCACTGCTACTGTAGTTTCCATCTGAATATTGACTCATGGGGAGGTTTGAATCGCCTCTGGAAATAATGTGGCAATGTTTAGTGCTTTGTGATATTTGAATCTTAAGCACTGACACTCAAAATGTATTATCTTAATATGTCATTGGTTTATTATACAAATGATTCCATGATAAAAAATTTAAAATATGAAATATATAATAATAATATTATATATAATATTAAATTATTTTATATATAATATGTAGGCTATTATATAATGTAGAATATTTCTGTGTTTATGTGCATTTGTATATACACATAAATATTTTTATTTATGTATTTTTTCCACCTTTTGTTGATCTAATACTCAATATGACCCCTTTATTGTCGTCTCTGCCTCTTATTAAATGTTTTTAACCTAATAATAATTCATTTGTCATCTTCTCGCTGGGTTATTGTGTTTCCATTCACTGCAGTCACTGTCTCCAGCTGTGATCAAAAGAGCTGCATGCATAATTCCGCTGCCTTTTCCAATCCTACTACGGCGCAGGCTTAGCTTATGAATATTAATCGTTCAACGACGTTGCTTAATAACCTCCTCGGCGTCCTGGTACGTAACGTATTTAATATTCATTAACCACGCCTCTGCCACCCTCGGATTGGCTAGCTGACCCAGCGCCCACCCGCCGTTATCCAATCAGACGGCCCTCTTTGTCGAACGTCACACTGCGTAATTAATATTCACACAGCAAGCCTTCGCTACAGTAGGATTGGCGGCTCCGGTTGTGAAGGAGTTAACGGGGAGGGCGGAACTCTGCACCGGCCGCAGACAGTAGATGATCGCAATATTATAGCGAGAGGTACAGAGACGCTACAACGCTCGGAGGAACGTTTTGGAAATACTCTTTGGATACCAATTGCATCGTGACGCGCGCGCATTGACCTCGCCAGCGATGCGTTCGCGTCTTTCTGGATGATACAGAGGGAACGGCGCACATTCCGAAGCGGATACAAATGCATTTGTGAATGCAATATTGTATCATCGCGTGCATTCAAACCGGGATCGCTTACAGATGCGCAGACGCGGGTCGCAGTGTGCAGGTGGATGATGATTGAGGAAGATGAGTCCATCTCACCTTTGAATGAATAATTATTGATTTACAGAGGTTTTACACAGCTGGGAGGAACCCAAAGGCGCAATGGTCATAGTTCACGCATCAGGGTTCGAACCCGCAGCCGCCGGGTCACCCGCCTCCGGTGTGTGAGCATCCGCGCGCGACGGTCATGTTGCCCGGGGTGGGTGTGTTCGGCACCAGTCTGACGACCCGGGTCATCATCCCTCTGCTGAAGAACGAGGGCTTCTCGGTGAAGGCGCTGTGGGGTCGCACGCAGGAGGAGGCGGAGGAGCTGGCGCGCGACATGAACGTGCCCTTCTACACTAACCGGATCGATGATGTGCTGCTGCATCCGGATGTGGATCTGGTGTGCATCAACCTGCCTCCGCCGCTCACGAGACAGATCGCCGTTAAGACGCTGGGTGAGTGGCACGCTGGATGGATTGCACAATGTTCCTCTGATGGTTCTCATGAAGGAGAACGCGTGTCAGATCTTGTTTCTGTCAGGTTAGGTGTGGCTTTAATATTATGACTGCATAAAAAAAACAGACTGACTTGCTTCACCAGCCATTGCACCATAATTGTGTTTTTTGGTAATTAAGAAACCCACAATGGTGAAACTGACATTCATAAACTGGACCATCAAGTTTGAACCAGTTCATGATACTTACATTTGGTTTAAAAGGCCTTAAGGAAGTTTGTCCATAATTGTATGGACTTGCAAATGGATCTATATATATATATTTAAAAAAATAATATTTTATTAATATCTCAATAGTTTTTTCTAGACAACAATGAAATAATGAGAAAAATAGAGAACATCTATTAGGTCTTTCGAACTTTGAAAGAGCATTTCTGAGCAATAACATTTTCCGCTGAGCATCAGAGATCTTCTATAAGATCTAGAAGTCGAGACTACTGATTTAGGACCTTCAGAACATCTCGGTTGTTTCTCCAAGACTGCAGTGAAATGAAATGGAGAGCAAAATGCAAAACATCACTTGCATCTTTTGCTTCTCAGATGTGCCTCAACTGTGCTCAGATTTCAAAATGTTACAATCAGAGCTCTCAATATTAAACGTAGGCATTTCTCATCGAATGATCTGAACTGCTCTACGTTCATTTTATAGCTCTATATTCTTACTGGATGATGATTAGTGACTCAGTTGTGTGTTTTATTCTCCGAAGAAATTCTAGGAGAAACATCGATCAAAGCTGCTACCTTAAATAAAACAATATATCGTTTTTCACTATTAGGTCCTGAGCTTTCAAAGAGCATTTTTTTCCCACTGAAGATGTAATAAGTAGTGATTCGTGTGGTCATCACTGATTTAG